CTGGAATGGGTTGCCCAGGGAGGTTGTGAATGCTCCATCCCTGGCAGTGTTGAAGGCCAGGTTGGACAAAGCCTTGGGTTCGTGTGAGGTGTCCCTGCCCATGGCAGGGGGGTTGGAACTAGATGATCTTAAGGTCCTTTCCAACCCTAACCATTCTATGATTCTATGATTAGAAAAGCAATATAAAACCATACAAAATAATGGAAACAGGTAGCATCAATCATTTTGCAAGGTTTTGGCTGGAAGGGGCTACTAGACCTTCTGGACTTACATAGGTATCGCAGTCCCTTATAAGCCAAGTGTTAATCCTGTATTGACCCAACTAAGTTGCACTTAGGATGTGAAAGCCATCGCTTTTCTCTTTTCTTCATTTCCTGGCTCCAACAATTCTGGTAAAAAAAAATCCTGTAAGTTTAATAGCAGACCCAGTCAAAGGCCTTGAAGGTAATTCATAGTGAGCATTTACTGGCTTCAACTGCTTTCTCCCTTCTTGTTTATTTTAATGTCAGTTCCCTATGGAACTATTACAACTACACAGCAAACTTCCCCAGAGGCCAACTGACACACGACACACAGGTTTTTATATAACTTGTCTACTGTACACTGACTCGGACCATAAGAGACTTCATTTTGGCTTTATCATAGCCTGCCCATTTGTCAAATCACAGCATATCATATATTTTGGGCGACAGTACCTGCAGGAAACAGTCTGTGTTGAGTCACATATACAAAACCCACTGCGAAAATTCTGATACCTGTGTGTGCAAGAATGGCATCTGCCACTGCTGACACCAAACATACTTGTCTATCTTTATTAAAAAAAAATAAATTAAAAGCATTCATAACCAGAAAGATTTAAAAATAGCCAGAAGCCTTCAAAACCAAGTTTCCCTGAAAAAAATGAGCCACACTAAAAAACATATGTATTTTTATGCCTACGCTTAACCATAGGCAAAATCAGCCCAGCAATACATGAGATGATCACTTACTCAAAGCTTGATTTATCCAGCAAAAAATCTGGATACTAATTAGACGGAAAATAAGCTCTTGTGATTAATTATTGGGAATAAAATAAAACCATAAATATTGTGGGATAGGAGGAAGCCATAAACAATTCAGTTAAAATCAAGTAAGAGAGCTTACTTTTAACTACAGCATGATGCTAAAGCTAGAACTGGAAAAGTTGAAAAACAAAATAAACTGAAGTTTGTCCAAATTCATTGTATTCATATGTATTACAGTCATCTGTCAGTGATTACAAGCCAGTGGGGTCTGTTGTATGCAAAGGATGTAGAAACAGTCTTCAAATATGAAACAAATTAGAAACAGCCTCTAAACAAGTGTTTGATGTATGAAAAAAGATAGTAAGAAAATTAAAACCTCAGAATGCTTTTTAGACCAGCTGCCTGAAACAAACCTCCTTTCCATTTCCAAAAGGTCTGAGTCAAATGTGACATAAGCATGATGCGAACCACCACACAATGTTAATACTAGGAAATTTGCCATCATGCAGTTAGCTAAAGAAGAACAGAAAAAGGAAGAGTGAGAGAGGCTTATTGATGGGTAACTTAGACCACTGCCATCCTTTGAGTCTGTATCAAGTTAACTGGGATGAGAGGTAAAAAGATATTCTATAAGGACAAAACCTACACGCACCACATACTAACTTAACTAAAATACGTATCTCCCTTCAAGGTAGATCTTTCACCCTGGTTTCTTTTGTTCAGCTGTTACATGCTGTAGAGCTCCATTTTCACAGTCACCAAAGAGTCTGAAGCAAATGAGCAGCGCCTAGCTTGAGGTCTGGCTGGTAGAGGATGCGCTTTCAGCTTTTAAAGGCCTCATAAAATCAGGGCTTAAAATAAATATTCTAAACATTATGTCTGTGTTTGCACATACTTAGGAATATCCCACTAGCCCTGACCTGGCCATATTCAGCATCTGAGCTTGTATTTCCCATGGTGAAATGTTTTGCAAATTCAGACTTGCATTTGATCAACAGCAAATTATAGCAACATAATCTTTGCAGTATTTTAGGAAACTGCCACGGATTGTCCCTGCTTTGTGATAGACTTTCTCTGTCCTTGTCAAACTGACCCTCAGGTCCTGGTTACTCACAGCCTCTTTGTTGCGCTCAGGAGGAAGGAAACAGCTGTATCACTGACAGCGATGCTGACTGAGACAGCAGGAAAAGGAGAACATAAGGGGGAAAAGGAAGCACATAGAAAGTCATAGGTGGGTCAGAGCCTCACAGCTCAGCACTGAGACACCAGAGGTTTGCAGGCTTTTACAGCACAAGTGGCAGAGAGCCAGATTTACAAGCTTTTACCTCTTTTTAAGCTCTTACCTCTTATTTGAGCCTCTGAACTTCCACAAAACCCAAGCCATCAGTCGTGAGCATGAAACGTCTGTGCAGGGTGGGTTCAACTTCTTTCCTCAAACAGGGACAGCTGCAGCATGCAAGTACGCTATTGTCATGAGCTGGAAAACTGGCCCCCTGCAGCCCTCACCTCCTCCCTCCCCACCCTGTTTCACATCCTGCACCAAAGCTTTTCTTACCAGCCATCCCTGCTTGACCTTGCTGCTTGCCCTTCATGGCCTCTGCCCTACCTTCAGAGAGCCACTGTGAGAAATGTAGTGCACGAAGTGAACTGGTAGCATCAGGAGACCATTGACACTGATCAAATCCCTCCAGTGTCAGCTAAGAAGAATCACACTTTGAATTTAATTAAAAGTAACATCAGAGCTGTCATCGCAGCTGGGATAAATGAGAAAAGACTAGATCGCAGTTTCTTCTGGCTAAACAGAAAACACTGGAGAAAAAAATGGCACGTATCCCAATAAGGAAAAAGTTAACCTGCTCCCTTTGCAAAACTTTATAAACACTTTCCCCCTAAAATATATGAAAAATGCCATTATCCTCTCATAAGCAGCTGTGTGATGTCAAGACAAGCAGTGCATTGTAAAGCTGGGAGAGGTGCCAAATTAATCTAAAGTTAACCTTTCTATATGGGATATAACTCAAATGAAGATGAGAGGTTTGGCTCCCAAACTAGATAAAAGAACCTTAATTTGCTGCTTAAGTTATTGACTGTACCAGTTAAGACTGAAGGCAAAAAAAAAAAAAATAATCCCAAACCTCACAGTTGCACACTTTCTCATGGATGCCGAACTTACTGAAATTGAATTTACAAAAAACTTCATCATCTTCTAGGATGATTCATATCAGAAAATAATTCTTCCATTTTTCTGTAGTACAAGTCCTGGGGGAAACTGCTACACAGATTCTGAGGATGAAGATAGAAAGCTAAATAATGTCAAAGAAAGAGATGGGAAAAACTAAATAATGTCAAAGAGAGAGAAGGTTCCATACTTTTGTCTGGAACCAAGAATAGTGCATGACAGAAAACCAACCATTAGGGTACAAGTACACTCAGATTAAAAAAAAAAAGATGGAGTAGTGTTCAGAGCCTTGCCTGCACCTGACACAGGCTCAAGGGACAACTGGACTACTCTGCAGAAGAGAAATCTACTGAAGGTTACTAACCACCCAGAAAACACCCCTACCACATCAGGAAAGCAAAGAGCTGTAAGTGGCAGAAAGCTGGGAGGGTATTCTTGGGAAGCATGAGCTATTTTTGCCTTGTTCTTCTGGTCCTCGCAAAGAAAAAGCTCTGTCCAAGGGTACTGGGTGAGATGAGCTCTTGGCTGGAGTCCATATGGTTGTCTTCATCCTACATTTTCACTCAAAACACAACCCATTTTTCTTGAGGTGCTTCAGAAATTGTAACAAAGAATTTGCTAACAAGCAATAAGAAGGAATAAACCAAGCTATAGAAGGGACAACGCAGAAACAGCACAGGGTTTCTAGGAAGGAAAGCTAAAAAAGAGAGGAATTACATTTGCATCTGTTACCCCAGTGGAAAGAAAGAAAGCAGCATGCCAGAGGATGTGAAGATACAAAATATTATTTATTGACAATATCTCAGGAAGGAAAATCATAATCACAACAAAGTGAGGGCAGTTAAATGAGTGAGGTGGCACAGAAAACAGTGTAATGAAGATTTTTTATTATTTTACTAATTATTTCCCTCACATAGGAAAGCCTCAAAAATACTGAATTTTAAGTTCTATGAAAAATCATTACAGTAATAAAGGCAACTTAATGCTCTATGGGAGACAGTTTGAGTCTTTAACAAGAGTTCTGATTTACTACTTTGATGCCCCAATGCAGAAGCATGCCCCACATGCAGAAGCGTAAAAACAGGTTCCCAGCTGTGCCCAATACAACCATCCATCTGCTCAAATGGTAATAGAGCAGACCATTAAAAACCCAGTATTTTTAGCTCAGGAAAAAACCCATACATACAATATGTTATACCATATTCAGTCTCTCCAAAAGAGATGCTTCCAGCAGTAGCACACAGCAAGCTCACGTGTGTCCTAAAAATCATCTTAAGGGAATCTGGCTGCCAGGCTGCTGTCTCAGTTCATTTTCTTCACACTACAAGAGAGATGACATTCTGGTTCCAAAAAACTTCACTTAGTGAGATCTATTTCAGGGAGGAGTGCTTCATCTGCATCTTGTGCACAGTTTTTGGAATATTTCAGCTGCATCTCAGGGAAAGTCTGTCTATCTGTAAGCGAACCTGTTGAGTTTTAGGTAGTGTTGAGTTATGATAACTCTGAGGAGGCGATAACTTTTTTTCCCTAATAATTACCTGTATTTGTTCACATACGCATTATATGATTGCTCATCTGTCTCCAAGTGGCAGTCTCTCACTTCACACTGGCACTTCTTCTGGCTGAGGGGGCAGCGGTTTGTCTCGAGGGAGCCCTGGGGTCTCAGACTCCCCCAGTCCCCTGAAGCCCCCATGCGGGCTGCAGCAGGTGGGAGGGCTGAAGGGAGTAGCCGAAGAGACAGGAGTTTCCCCAGGCACTGACAGCGGAGGGAGGGGAGGGCGGGAGGTAGCGGGCCGGGCCCCCGCTATTAGTACCGGCCCTCGGCGGAGCCCGCCTCAGTGCGGAGCCTCCACGGCCTCTCAGCACCATGCAGGAGCTCAGCGCCGCGCCGCCCGCCGCCTTCCTCCTCCTCCTCTGCCTCAGCGTGCTGCTGCTGCCGGCTGCCGCGGCTACGGGCACCGAGCAGAAGCTGAGCCCCAGCAGCCGGCTGGCCGCGGGAGCGGCGCGGGTGGCCCTGCACTACCTCAACTTCCAAACGGCGTCCCCCGGGGCGCTGCAGGCGCTGGGGCAGGTCCGCAAGGCCACGCTGAAGGTAGGCGGGAAGCCGGCGCGGCAGGGCGGAAGGGTAGCGGGGTGGCTGTCGGTCCGGAGGAGAGCGGGGAGGGCGGGCGTGGTCTTTAAAACAGCGCTGGGAAAAGTCTAATTAACAATAATTACTGTAATAAAAGAGCGCGGCCCTCAGCGCGCCCCCTTCCGCAGGGGGTTCGGACCACCGGGTGCCCTCAGGAGGCGGCAGTCCCACCGCCTCTTCCCTCAGGGGGCACCTCCGAGGGGATCCGCCGCTAATGGTCACGATTTAAATAACCCCAAAATCCAAGCCGAGCGCCCCGTATGGTGGTTGAGGGTGCCCCAAGTGCCCTGGCTTGGAATCAAAAGCAGCATAGCATGGAAACTGAGGAACAGAGCGGGCACATGAGGGAAAGAAAACAAGTTTGATAAGGGAATCTTTCCAGCAGAATCACTTCTGGAGTGATCATCTACTTTGTGAGAGTAGGGACAGAAAGGAATTGGCTTTCTCCTTCTAGAGACTGAGAGCTTCAACTAAAGGCAGCACAGTTCCCATCAGAAAACATGTCTTTAGTTTTACATGTCAAATTGAGGTGAGAGGCCTAGATAGAAGCAGCTATAGGGGCAGAGCTTTCATGTCATGAAGAGCTAGTCAGGGATGCTTGAGGCACCCTTGTCATGCTCTGTTCTCATCTTCTGGCCACAGGTTTTGCATCCTTCTCAGTTTCTGAAAGTAAGAGAACAGGGAAAAAAGCCTGGGAAACACTAAAAAAAGGAGATCTTACAACATTTGTCCTTCGGCATCTGCATGACATCTTCAATTCAGACCCTCACTCCTCAAACTGAGAATAAGATGCTGTAGTGTGAAATCTTCCAAGAAAGACGTTCCAAGCTAGCCTAAAACATTTAGGATGAGCCTCAGTCTTTCACATGTATCCCAGCTGGTAGCTGCACCAATTCAATGTGAAGCCTGTTTGAGTTGCACACAGTATTTAACAGACCAGAATAATTTCCAATTAAATTTGACAAAACACAAACTACCACATGAAAATTCAGAATGTGTGTGCTCTTTCAGCCTTGCACTATATGAAGTAAGTATAGTGTTAGCCGTGCTACCTGTCAGGGAATGCAAACACCATGTCCTGCTGTGGATTTATCTGAGACACCACCCTTTAGGTAACCCTGTTCTCACCACCATTCCCAAACATGTCATTAAGCATATAGTTTAAAAGGTGCTGAGCATGCATGTGCTGGAATGACATTTCATTCTTCTTATGAAATTGCTGCAGACGCCTATGACAGAAATTTACTGTGATACTTGACACTTCTCTGTCGAAACTTACAAGTGCTCCTTCTGTATTTACTGGGCACTTTACTGGGTAGTGTGCATAGGTATATATGTGTATATTTACATATACAAATGCTTGTGCCTCTTTAACAGTATGTGCTGCTGGAAACAGTGCACTTGGCTAGTAAAGAGACATATCAGAAGTAAGGGGTTGGTGCAGATCCTCTTTCCAATCTCCATGTAACTATTTGCAAGGTAGTTTTGGTTGCAGGGAGAGAAAGGGATTTTTTCCTCCCGCAACGAGCCATCTGTCTTTTAATACAGGAAATAAAAAAAATGGTTCATAGAGAAGTGAAATGCCTCATTACTTCCTTACAGTACTGGATGTTGTAGGAGCTCTCTATAACCACTTTCTATAGTTTATTTCCCCTCTTTCTTTGCACACTGTGAAAACAAGAGGAGAAATGTACTAGACATGGTCACTTCCTTCTTTTCTGTCCTCCACTGTAAACAATGAAAAGCATTTCCTGGAAGGAATGTGCTATATTATGTAAGTGGAAGAGACAGAAATGTCGAGGTTTGGGTTTTTGTTTATTTTTAAAGAAGGTTAGCTTCATATTGGTTGGTATATTACTGTATCTAGTAAAAACAGGATAACTTTATAATGGGATAATAGGATAATTTTATAATGGGATTCAATAATGAGCATCGTATTTTAAAAACTAACATTACTAGCCCACTAGCCAGTGGAACTGTGGTAATTAGAAACAGGACTGGAGACAAGTCACCAGTATGATAACTCTCTTAGATGTAAAGACATTTTCAAGTTCAGGTGAAATGAGACTTATGTAATTTTTTTGTCCTAGCAACAAATAGTAGAGATACGCAAAATATATAATAAGTCCTACCTTGCCATTGGCTGCCGTTTTCTTTTTGTTGTCCCTTCTCATTCATGTGGGTTTTTAATTAAGTGAGTATCTTCCAGGAAACAGCAACATGCACCACATGGAATAGTTGACAGAGGGACTTTAAAATACATGTTTTTAAAAGAGAAGCATTAGTGTTTGCCAGCTGCCTAGAATTCACGAGAGAAACTTTCAGAACACTGATGTAATAGCAGTCTCCTATACCAAGCTGCCCTGGAATTAAATCATAGCTGAGCAGAAGGTATGTGGACCAGGAGGCGAGGTGCAGAGGTAAAGCTAGGTAACGTCTTGGCTGAACTGCTACACTTGCTTAAATTGGACTACAAAATACAATTTTAAAGATATTTCTCTTCACAAGCTCACCTTGACACAAAACAGCATAACACCGTAACCATGATCCTAATATTAGAAGTCAATTAAAAGATTTCTATTTATTTCCAACAGTCAGTAGAATCCGTGGCAGGGTAGGTAAATTGTCTAGGGAAAGCTAGGTACAGAGAGGTTGAGAAATTATCCATCTCTGCTGGGTTTTCCTGCCTGCATGGGGTGACCTGGCTGCTTGTGGATCCATCCCCAGAACATCCTGAAGCTGCAAGCCACCAGAGTGGGCTTGCAGGGGCAGTGCTAGGGCTGCGAGGTAGGAATCCCCATGGGTGACGCTGCTCTCACTCCTCTCTGCAGTGCTAGCACCTCTACACTTAATAAGCAGGTCAGCCCTCTGATCTGGCAACCGAAAACTGGTCCCAGGGGAGAAATTATAGTGGGGAAACACACATAAGAGATGGAAACCTGCAGCAACGGGTGAGAGATGGATCACCCCTTTCTGTGCCAGTGGGGAGTTACAGCAGTGTACATCAATTGCAAAACAACCTCCTTTGGGACCTGGAATGAAACTGCTCCTAAATTGCTATTTTGGCCTTCACAGTACTAAAAATCTGTCATGAAAATTGCATTAATTTTGAGCCCAGAAATAAAAGAATCCCGTGACCCAGATATTCAGTGGAAAATTGACTTACTCACTTGTTTTCTTCTCTTTTGGACACATTGGCTGCTTTCAGCCAGAAATCATTGCATGATGTCGAATATTCCTGAGCTCAGATTTAACTCACACCATGTGATGGTTTATAGCGATGCACTTTGAAATTATAGTGGAAATACTTTTATAAAAGTTAAAATTGTTTCATGCCAAATATACCTTCTACCTCTCTCTGGTAGGATCAAAGTCCTGTGGGATGTATACCCAGACAACATGTTTTTTAGCTTTGTAGCACCACTTGAAAGCTTGAATCTAATTACTATTTTCAAAGTTATCACAGCTATAAAAATAGTATTTTCTTTAGCAGAGAGACCAGGTAACACCAATGTGAGAACAAAGAATATGGAAAGAATAGCTGAACATATTTGAAATGACCGAATATGCTAGACAGAAAACATCCAGTTTAACTATAAAAGTTTTGTTGCAGACTTTAAGACCCTGATGTTGTAATTGTGTTTAGGCAGCCTGTGGCACTATGTCCTTCAGGAAAAGTTTCAGCAGGAACCATTCTATCCCATCCATTATCATCAATTAAATCGGAGCTAAGTTTCTCCTCCTGCTTCAGAGGTGTTGTAGTCCACCTATTTCAGGTTCTCTCATCTGTGGTACTGGTGTCAAGAAAAGGAGTAAGCCTAGGTCACTGTGCTTAAAAAATACCCATACTTAATTAAATGAATGTTAGAAACAACAGCGGTAACACAGCTCTTGGGTAGCTTTTCAATAAACAGAAACTTAGGACTTAACTGTAGTGATTAGTGAGAGATTAGACCTTTCTTTCAGCCCCACAAATACCCAATTCTTTTGTCAGCCTGCATTTCAGAAAGACAGCTTTTACTATTTTGCTGTATCTCTTCATGTCACGCTCTCTGTCATTTCAAGGACGGCATTTTAGCTGATACACAAAACAAGGGCAGGAGAAGGGAAGAATGGAGGGGTGGAGAAGAAAGAGATATCTGAATTTGCCCTCTGTCCATTTCCTTCATTCCCTTCACGGTGTGATCAGGGTCCAGCTCCAGACTTGCCTCATCTTGAAGTTCAAGAGGGTGTTTTACAGAATTAGAGTAAGCAACTGAACCGATTTGTCCTCCTACCTGCAGCACATAACTCCATGTGTGTACTAAAGGCAAGTGCTGGGCTGATGGCCTTGCCCTGGGAGTGAAATTTTGCTAACGTTACGCTATTAATGGCTTCCAGGAAGAAAGTATGATGGTAACACAGAGGCCCAAGTTTAGATAAATAAACCATGTCCATTTGCTTTGGGTTCTAAGCTTCAAAATTATGCAAACAGCCAGAATTCCCTTCCTGTTTATCTGAGGAGTATTGTATTTAAAAACCAAATAAGACTAATAAATCAGCGCTGTTGCTGGAATAGTCACTTGATTTAAAAATATGCTTGAGAAGGCAGCTTGCTGCTCCGGTAAGATGCCTTTTCTACATTCTGCCTCATGCGCCACACAAAGAAAAGCCTGTGTAAAGATATATCCCCCACCAGCAGCAAACAGAACCAAGAAAAGGTTTATGACAAGGGAGAATGCCTCTTATTAAGCCAGGCAATAGATGCAAAAGGAATAAACTTTCAGACGCAAAAGTGACCTTGTATATCAGAAAGCTTGTCTAAGAAATCACAGCATAGCACACAGAAAGACTTTAGTTTACTTCTAGCTGATTTAATCAAAAGAAAGGATTGGAAATGTACCAAAACGTTAGATAACACATAATGTTATTTTATAAGGAAGTAGTTGAAGAAATAGAAACTTTTCAATACTATTTGTTACTCAGAGTCCCCACTCAAAAATACAGGAATTTCTAAAGTTAATATAAAAGTTGGTAGGAAAAGAAGAGACTGACTAATGAAGTATAGACCAGATAATGCAGATACTTTTAATTGGCTCTGCTCTTTCATTATGGAATGAGACACTGATCCTGTTTTAGCGTAATTAATAGTTTTTATTGTCAACATTAAAAGCTGGTTTCTGTTTCAGCATGCTTTGGGCCGGGGCAGTCTCATATCCCACACCAAAAATATAATTTGTTAACTGAACAGTTTCTGTCAGCAACAGCAAAAAAAACCCCACCCAAATAAACAAACAAAAAAACCTGATAGCCAAGAAAATGGCATATCTCAAAGTTTACTCTTTTAAGGCTTTTCTGATGCATTACACTATAAGACATGCTACTGGCTGCTTTCCATAATCAAGGAGTATTCTTTTATTTCTTCCTTAACAAGCAAAATCTTGGATAGTTGATTGAGCAAGTTAGTGACTGGTATTTCCAGGGCAAAAAGAGCAGATCAGAATCCTGCTCTGCCATGCTGTGTAACAAAATCAGTCTCTTTCCAGTTGCTGTAGAAAAAAATAACTAGAAAAGTTAGCATCCTTAAGGCTAAATTAGTGTAAAGCCTTAGTGTAATTCCTGTTCAGCTGTGAATTAGTCAGCAAGATTTGATTCATTTATATATTCAGGGGCACTCTGATGTCCTGTGCAAAAAAGAAACCTCCTTGGAGGCTGAACACGGATCTGTAATTTTATGATTTTTAAAGTTATTCAGTATCGATCCACCCCATGAAGGACTTAAAGCTGCATTTTTCTACTTGTGAATCTCTCTGAGGAAAGGGTGCAAACCATCCCTTAATGTAAGGGCTATTTAACGGTAGTATTGAGATTCTTCGCAGTTTGCTGCTTAGGACTGTCTCAGTGCATCTCATCTGACCAATTTCCTTGAGGTAGCCATGATGCCCTTGTTTCCATTATTCAGCACTCATGGCAAGTTACGCTACATAAGGCTATAGTTATGCCAATTGCTGAATCCTTCTCTCTTCCAGAGCATTCCAGATTCTGGTCACAAGTACTACCTGCAGTTCACTACCGAAGACTACAAAAGTGGGGTGAGTTTATGGTCCTCCATGTTTCTTCTGATAGTGTGTTAAATGAACTTCAATATCTTCATAACAGGTTACATTTAAGCGCTGTCATAAAAGGGTCTTTCACAACGGAAAGACTTACCTTTATGGTTCTACCTGTCTATCCAGCATGGGGTATGGCTTGCGCTTGGAATCACTTGAGTATTTCATCTCATCAGCCCTCAGTCTCTGCCTGGGCCCAAGTGGTCAGAGCACAGTAGTCACCCACTTTGCTCAGTGCCTGAAGAGCCTGTTGTGTTTCAAATCACATTAGTCACATATAAACACCTGAGTGAAGTCCTGCAATGGCCCAAACTCGACATGACAGTATGGTCCCCATTATCCAGCTGTACCTCCTGCTGTGTACACCAAAATGAGAATACAGACTTAACAAGTTGTGTGTTTTTTTTCATTAGAGCCCCCCCTCCATTCATTCTGTCAGACAGTTGTCATTAGCAACTTTACTGTAAGCATCTGCTTTTCCATTGCACACACATGTGTTTTCAGAACTTATTATGAAGCATTATTTCAAGGCTGAAGTACAAAAGAGTCCCTGTTATCAATTGAGGTTATTTTTTGAGAACTCAAACATATTTCCAAGTCGACTTAGTGCTTTTCTGACACACTTTGATTAAAAAGGTCTGTTAAATCACTTTAGCCTCACGGGTTTAACGTATTTACTTTTCTGGGAAAAAAAACAACAAAAGAAAACCCCTACCAAGAAAGAAAATTATAGCCTTCTGAAGCCTCCTTTCTTGACCCTGCGCAGTTTTATACAAAGTATCTCACAAAGACATATACATATTCCATATGTATACTTCACATCATGTATCAAGGGGCTTTTTAAGAATGTGTTGCTGGTAAATAAAACCTTAATTAAAGACAACATGTTTAAATTCTCTCTTTCCAGGAAAATGCTGGGAGCTGCCTTGCTACAGTGTTGTATCCGAAGACAAAGTCTCCACCTGTTGTCAGTATCAAGTGCATGCAGAGCAAAGACCAGAGGCAAATCCAGGAAGAGGACAACAGACTTTACCAAAAACTCAGGCACCAAACAAAACCAATAACTGGAAACAATATTCCAGGTATGTTCCTCCAAATAGTTGACTGTATTTCATTTTATATTAAAGAGCCTGGGTGCTTTTAAGAACAGAAGCAAATGTACATGCATTTTAAAAAGGAGACACATGCATTTGCAGTAGCACCCTAATACCATAGAACTAACTATCAGAACAAGTCTACCTTGACAACAGTTCTTGGGGAGAAGAAAACCCACAACCCAACACCTGTTGTGAAAGTGTCTTGGATTTAAGAGCAAAGCCTGTGCAGTTTTATATTCAAGTAAATGCAGAACGTCCTCGCGCGGTAACAGCTGCCTTAACCCACACCCCTTCCCCAGCTGAGGGGGCAATTCACAAGGGATGACTAACAGAATTTTTCCATCCTGGAAACAGAGCACTCCGGTCCCTCTTTTCCTCCCCACTAAGTAGGGGGTTCCACTGTCATGGATACTGGGCTTCTCCCCTCCCAGCAGGGACCCAGTAAGCAGAGTCTCTTGGCAATTTCAGTCCTGTCACGCTTTCATACTCTGACTGCAGGCTCAGCATCACTTTCCTCCCTGTTCAAGACTAAAACATCAAAAGCAAATGTTGCTTCCCAGGAGTAGTGCTGCACCAGGCAGAAGTGCTACGGGTTTATAATTTTCCCACTGGACAGAATCAGTCATTTTATATTACTCTTTCTCTCCCTTGCAGACAGCCATGGCAATATTGAACCTGCCCTGGAATCAGTGTGGGCTTTGGCTGTTGCTGGCAGCAGCTACATAATGTGGGAAAAGTCAAGAGAAAACTTGGACTATTTCATGGCACAAGTGAAGTCTGTGAAGCAGTGGGTAAGTGGAGCTAAGTGAAGTGGGTAAGCAAAGCGAAGCCTAGCCAGGCTGAAAGACAGCATCAGTCAGTGCCCAACCTGCATTCTCAGGGAACACACCTTACACCTGCAGCATAATGAACAGGAGTTCCCAAAGCTTTGTTTTCCCCCCATCGCCTCTGATCAATAGATAGCATTCAGTTTTTAATCCCTAGTTATTTAGAATGAGATCTGAGTTATTTTGAATGAGAATCTCTCTGAAGGAAAAATTAAAAAGCAGTGAGAATTCTCAAAGTTACTTGAGGGTTAGTCAATTAATTAGGACCAGAGTCAGCTGAGTTTCAGGTCAGAAAACAGATTGCACAGCCACGCCACAGTTAGTGCCTTCTAGGCAGGATATGCTCCTAATTCCCTGTCTCTCCACACACAAAACCTGCCTCACTGACCACAGCCATCTCGAGCCCTGTTCACCTCACCTCGCTCTCTAAGCAAGCTAAATACAGTCAAGTAAATCTGAGTAGCCTCTAAACTTTAACAGTATAACTTGTGTCTTTGGTAATTTTTTTCTTTTTGAAACATGCCCAGATAAGGAAAGATGATTTTACTGAGTTTGACTACACCGTCCTGCTTCATGAAATTCCAACACAGGTAAGAAAGTGCACGCATACACTACCTCCTTTCATTCACTGAGGAACAGCATCAAAATTGTAAGAGATGTGTATTTTTAATTCTCTTCTCCAGGACATTATCTCATGTCACATGCGCCTCACTTGGCTTCCTGGTCATCCTCTGAAAGTAAAATACTTCTGTGCTTCAGTAAACCATGGGCTGGAAGATGGATCTGGAATGGAATCTGGATCAGCTGCTGGGGTTCTACATGAAAAGGGACCCAATCTTTAAAAGCAATTGTCAGTTTTACATACCTATATTAAATGAGAAATCCTTGTATCAACAGACCTGGAGCTGCAATTTTTCTATACAAGCTGAACCATGAATGAGTGCTTTTGCTACTCTGTCTTGTTCCAAAATTAATTCCCATAGTTTCTTAAACTGCTGCACTCGTAGAGTTCTACATAAGAACCTTTGCTACTACATATATACACAGAGAAACATACACAAGTTCATTTTATGTCACTGACTTACCGTAGCTTTGAATAACATAGTTTGTAAACAAAGTTAATATATTGAGATAAAAAAACTTGAGAAATGTATTAATCTGTTGCTAAGAAATATTTGTTTACCGACTTTTGATTTTTTTTTTTTGGGGGGGGGGGGGGGGGAGGGTGGCAGGGAGGGCTGTGCTAGGTCCATGCTGATTTTTAACTTACAACTCCAATAAACCCAATACTGTTCTGCAGGATGGAGGCTGGGTTTCCTTCTGACACTGCTGACCTCAGCTGTCCATCTCCTGCTGTCCAGCCTCTAGAAGGACTCAGAGAGTGCAGGCTGCAACACATCTCCCCAGGAGGCCCTGGTAACCACCTTCTGCACAGCCTCATCCTGCTGAGGCACTGCTGTGCCCTGCAGCACCAGCTGACAAGAGTTTCTTCTCTCTTACTTGTGAAGGCAACTCAGAAAATACCAATATAAGGAAAACATGTTTTGGGGTCTGCCTGTGCTTGTCCCCATCTGAGAGTCCTGCATAGCAGTGCTGCTCAGGCAGAAATTGAGGGCACTAGCATTGTGTTTGCAGTTCTTTCTATTTGCAGTTCTTTCTATTTCCCTGAACAAAAAACTGCCAACAGGACAGCTCTGTACGGATGAATTTCCACAGTGGGGTTTGGGGTGCAGAACACACCATCAAATAGCTCGTGGATTAAAGCTGCTACATCTTGTGCCTATCCTAAACACAGCAAAGTCCTCTGGTAATTATGTGATTTTATCCCATCATGCCCAAATCTCCACTTGCGGTCCAGCGGAGCTGCTGCTGCCTTGTCTCCATTTGCTCAGATAGTGCTAAACTGTCTCCAGTTTGCTTTTTCTTCCCCCCATGAGCAAGATTTCTCCCAGGTTACATTAACTCATTATCAGTAAGTACCTCTTCCTTCCGGAAACACGGCCTGTTTCTGGGATGATTTTGTTCTTTATAATTTGTGCTACATTGCGCTATCATTGATCTGTAACTGGAAACCATGATTTAAGATACTTAACATGACAGCTTTAACTATTTAGGCAGGTGATTTGTTAACCCCCACAAATTCAGGCATTTTACACAAGTGTATTACAGTCCAATGTACTTTTACTGACTGAAGCTTTTTATATCAGCACATAACAGGCATTACAATAAATTTCATGAAGCAGCATTTCACATACTCCTGGTGTTTTCCTTCAAGCTGGTAAAACATTCTCCATCATCTAAAGCATGAAATCAGAGCTTGTAATGGCAACGTTTCTTAAAGAAACTGGTGATGAAAACATTTTTTAGAAGTAAAATAGCATAGATTTTGCACTTTGGGGCTCTACTTTAGCACACACCTAACTAACTGCAAGTTCAGTTCCCTTACCTCATGAGGCTCTCCAGACACCAAAGAGAGGATTGGGCACTTCTAACTTGCCAGACTGGTGTAACTGATTACTAATAAGCAACACAAACTCATGTCAGATGAGAAGCTGCACCGTAACTTCTGGAGAAGTAGCAAACCTGTTGGAACTCAAAGGCAAAATTTTCACCAGCTTCTTTAGGGCCAAGATTTCAGTCAGTGGGCCAGAACCCAGTATCATACAGCAAAATTCTTGGTTACATAATGCAGACATGGTCTGAGATAAGGCCTGGGCAGGTTCACAGTGAATTCTCCATGCTACAAAACCTACGCAGAGCCTGTTTGGAAGAGGCAGAGGCAAGAGAAGAGGAATCACTCTTTTCCCTCTTTGCTGCTAGGAAGAGTTCACCTAACTATGACATAATGTGAGCATTACCTAAAATTTGACTAAATAAAAGCCCCATCATGCTCAAAGAAACAAAGGCCAGGGTGTCCCAAGGCTCTCGCTCTCCACCCTACCTCCAGTGCCCCCTGTTTCCTGTGAGCCTTCCCTCACCCACAGATTTTCTTCCCGGTGCTTGAGCTGGGCCGACCATACTGTGCCAGGTCTGCAGAGAACCAGCGCTCCCCTGGATGCACCCATGAGCAAGGAATTCACTGCACAACTGGCCTCAACCAAGCACAACATAGAAGCCATATATATAAATAATAACTACCCATTTCTTCCTTGCATTGATTCTGCTTTTATAAGCCATCTTCGACTTTCGGTAAACATGCTGTATTTGCTTAAAAAAAATCTCCAAATGTCACAAGAACCTGCAGGGCTTTTTGAGAAACAAGTCCCAGCTGAGTATTCTCACAAAACCAAAGCTATGAGTGTAAGGGAATCAAGAAGGATTTGGCCCAAAGCAAATCGTACTCATACACATTTTGCCTGTGTTTAGACAGCATTTAACCACCCATGACCGACCTCTCACTGTTCTTGAGGTTAAAGTAAGTAATTTTCACTGTCTGCCTGCAAAGGCTGAGAAGATGCCCAGCTGCTACAGTTCTGTCTGTGTCTGGTAACCATCAACCCTGATCCTGTGCCAGGAATGTGGCTAGTTTTGAACTGGAAATTCATTCTCTGTTTACTGGAAGTCTGCAAAAATATTGTTAAGCTGAGCGAGACAGGAAGGGAGACCATGCAAAGAAACCCCAGTATGGATCCACTGGTAGCAATTAACAAAAAAGTAAATAATGATAACTACTCTTTCTCACCTAACTATAGTACCCTTGTCTCAGCTCTCTTCTGAGTGACCAAGAACTATTCAAATGATTCCCAAGCTAGCATCAGCAGTAACATGTCCTCTTCATTGGAAGATTCTGGGAAAAGTAAACTTTGGTTTAGTTCTCTAACAAGAAAGCAAGGCCATAAAATAAATACATGTCACAGTGTCAGAAAGAGTTAACTTCTACATATACATTCTCCTCAATCCTCTTCAAATACCCCCTACTCTCAGCGACAGGCAGATCTGGTGACAAGAAAGACTCTGGAGGCTTCTGGCATGGTTTCTGAAGGATGTGGAGGGAAAAGTGACATTCATTCTCTGGAAGGGATGCTGGAAGTGCCGAAGGATCTGTGCTTGGAGGACATGTGAGAGAACGCTGAGCATGGGGTTGTGGCTTATCCCCCACATACCTGCCCAGCAGGTCAGCGTTTGCCAAGTCTCCTGAATAAAAATTTTGAAACTTTCAAAACCAGGGAAACAGGAACTGGCCTAATTACAAAATAATGATGTATCAAGTAAAAAATTAAAATTATTTTACTACAAATGGATTAAGACAAATTAACATCTGTGTTTGAACATTTATATATTTTGTTAATGAGTAGCATTTACATGTGAACAATTGTGTAATCACCTGGTGGCTTCTGAGAACACCACAAAGGAAGGATACTACGACGAAATGCCAAGTCCAAGCCCTGCTGCAGCTTGCACTTATCCAGCTGGGCTTGACTGCTGCCACAGCTTGGGCAATGGAGCTTTGGGAGAATATTGTGAAAAAACATTCAACATACACGAGAGGAAAGGAGTCAGTTTTTGACTTTGCCCTTTTTTGCAGGGAGTCGCCCTGTTGCTTCGAGGTATTTGTTAATTACTTCTTCTTGAGTGCTGGGCGAACAGGGTTGGTATTTACAGTATTCCATTGTATATTCACCCTTTCCCTGTAGAGTTGGAGAAAGAACAGTCAAGGTAAGGACACAAACAGTGAAAACTTATTTAGCAGGCCACATCCTCATCTGTGAAATACATGCAGTAAGTGTGTATGACGAACCATACATCATGTACTGAGGCACATACATATGAGATACAAACTCACACAGTATCTGGACGTTGTTCCTGTGAACAAGACTTTAAGATCACCTGTGGTTCCTACCATATGAGTGTGACAATTCTGCTTCAAACCTAAAAGTGACTGTGGTATTAATACCAACCCATTTGAAGGCCTACAGAAAACCAACACTTTTGTGTCATCAGATGTGGAACAGTGGATATTATGTCACACCCAGACTCACCCAATTCAAATGCATTCAAAGAGCATATAACTACAGCCATACAGATTCTAAAAAAAGGACACCTTAACTTTCTGGCGCTGCTGCAAAAAAATCTCTTCTACCTGCAGACATCCATAATTTGAGGCGCATGCCTAAACTTTTCTAGCCTGTAAATTTAATACCTTTACTGATACCAACCACTTTGTATCGCTTACAACTCTGAATCTCTTCTATCCTCAAAGCATGAAAGAATTTTCTGGCCAGAAATGACACAGCTAATGACAGCTATGCTACTCAAAAAGCTACAGTTAACGTAACAGCAAAACCTCTAAGCTTATTTTCTGATTCTGCACTTGATTCTTATTGCTTTTACTGTTGCATACACTGTGTACAATGATGCAAATTAGCATACTTATTTACAGAAATAAACACGTTTTAGCAGAAAGTCCAGTGAGTACATACCTCTGTGCAAGATCTCAACTCAGTAGCATATCCGAACATATCATTCAGTGGCACCTAAAATCCCAAAATACTCTTCTTGTAAAAACAAGATGTTTTTCCATTAACTTTGGTTATCATCCAGTTAATCTCAATTACAATTGCAGAGTCAGCAAAATCTGGTGCTCTTTTTAAACAGCAGTGATCTAATTATCTATTTTTGTAAAATACCTCTTATTTCAACTGATTTGTATTCACAACGTTTTTCCAGCAGGAAACCCCCAAAATTCCATCAGAGTCTGAATGCCCCACATATTGAAATACCCCAGATTCAGTAGTCTGTGACAGCAAGCATGAGATTAAGCTTGAAATAACTCAAGACTGCACCTCTAAACAATTTATGAAGCAGAAGCAATGCAGTGTGTAGCCTGCCCTTAGCTAAGGCAAATGATGATTTACCTGATCACCTGCTGAGAACACACAGGTTTTTTTTGCGGAAAAAAAAAAAAAAGGAACATTGACGACAAGTAATTTGCGTTTATCTGCAATTATGATGTTAATGCAGGCAACAGCTAAAGGAAGACAGCAGACAAAAAGATCTTCCCCGAGCTCTGTGTGCCTGTATTGCTGCCCAGATTTGTTTCGGGTAGCACAGCTGGCCCATCCTGAGCAACCAGGGTGCTGTTTCTTTCTCTGCCATCATCTGACTTTAGGTCAGTAAACTGGCTTCTCTGGAGCAAAACAAATCTACAATAGGTTTACTAACACTGCACAGTACTTATCTGCTGAAAAACTAATGTCATGTTCATCCACGGAAAAACACAGCTACAAGTTTACATACATCAGACAGGAAGTAAAACAGTAAAGGGAGTTGAAAGGCAGCACAAGAAAGGAAAGGTCAGGAACCAGTAAACAACACAAACCTCAGCATAAAGAGTAAAGTAATCCTCTGCGCCATCTTGTCCTGTGATCACACCATGGCGGCGATTAATTCCAGCTATCACTGCTCCTTGGAATTCCGTGGGTGCCATCACCTCCACCGCCATAACGGGTTCAAGTATACGCACAGTGGCATTCTCCATAGCTGGAGTGGGAAAAAATAATTAAATAATCAAACATAAAAGAACAAGCCTGATGTAATTCAAGGTACCCCTGTGCATATCAAAGAGGTGTTTTATGGTTAATGTTAAGTGCTTTTCACATCAGTGGGGGAAAACAATAATCAACTATGTGAAATTTCAGCTCCCCTGCCTTTCATTCCTGAGACTGCAATGCCAGAAGGCACACAGTTTGATAAAATGTTCTTTCTGTAACTGTCTAAAAATGAAGCTGCTGGTATTTCTGTACTATAAACAGGATTTCTCCAAATAACCAAAAGAACTATTGTGCCTCCCTTAAAATTTCTATAAACTCTTGCAGATATTCTTCTCTACACAACTGTCTAAACTTTGAGTGTATCCATAGGAGACAACAGGCAAACAATGAACCTATAGAAATGAGTACATTAGATTCAGCTCCAACAATCAGGAAGCGAGCAGGACCACAGATCCAAATGACCAGATTTATACCTTGCTTCAGGGCTCCTTCTCCTGCTCTGATGAAAGAGATTTCATTGGAGTCCACCATGTGATGTGCACCATCTTCTAGGGCAAACCGCACTCCTGAGATCCTGTGCCCTGACACTAGACCTTTTTCACATGCTTCTCGGAATCCCTGTGAATAACATCTCCCAAGTTAGCAGTCTGTAGACCAAAACAAAGCCTAAAAAAAGAGCAGCATTAACAATAGCCTGCAAAAAACATTAAACTTAAAAAACGAAGCAGTAGTAACAAAAAAAAACCCACCAAAACCTTTCATGATATCTAACAGCAAACCTGCATCTACCCAATGGACCTTCTTGCTTGGTAAGATAATGGGAGAAAAAAACAGCAGGGAAAACTTCCCATTCCCAAGCATTTGAAAACTTTGTACTATCATTCATTGGCACCTCAGTTCAATATTGCTCTTTTTAAAAAACAGAAATCATGTACCAAGCTAAGGACAAGAAAAGGAAATGTCTCAGCTCAAAACTTTGCGTTGGTAAGAGACTGTACGATCAAAACCTAAAAGAATGCTCTTTACGGAAAGAACTACTCTAACCACTTAACTAAAGAACAAGAGTCTTTAAGACTGCAGGCTTTTTCAAGGATTTGGCAAAAATCTTTAAGTGTTGCGTCATGTAGCAATGAAGGAATTGTTTTGGGTGAATCCATTATTGTAAGACTTCAAGGATCATGGTAGGTACTACTTAAATTAGGACATGGCAAGTTATACAGTTTCAGAGAGACAGGCAGAGAGGAAGGCTGAAGAAGAGAGAAAAATAAAGAACATCTGGTAATTCATGTAGGAAATCCAGCTTAATTACAGTTTCCTACATAGCCGGCCTCAGAGAAGTCACAAAAAAAAGGTTACATATTTCAGGGTTAGAGATGAGAATCGTGGGGCCACAATCAGAAGCAGAAGGGGGCCATTAAAAAGCAGATTCAACAGGAGGCTTGTTTGACTGCAAGACAGGAAAGCCTACCTTCTGTATGGAGGCACTGCTGTGTAAATAGAGCAAGCACACACCACCAAAGAAAACAAACTGCAGCTTCTAAATTAAGTGGAAAACCTAGGAATGTCAGAAATGAAGAAAAACCACACAAATGTTTCTGCTTCCACTGAAGTAATGGGAAAAGCTGCGTTGCCTTGGGTAAGACAGTCACAGTAAATGCGGACTGTATAGCAGGAAAACAACCAGTATTTTTTATATGTTATACACACAGAAAAATATTTTGTACCTTTTCAACAGCAGGCACGAATTGTTTTGGAATATTTGTCCCAATGGTTCTGTCTTCAAACTCTACTTTTGTGTAGTCCTCTGGATCCAGGGGCTCAAGCACACCTATAACTTTGCCATACTGGCCTGCTCCACCAGTCTGTTTCTTATGCGTATACTCAAACCTAGAAACAAAACCGTGTTACTCATTACACAAACCAGTTTTCTACAGAAAAAAAAAGTTCCCATTCTTCATGTTGTTTTATTTTGTTTGGTTCTGTGTAAACAAAATGGCTAAACGCCATGTAACAGCAGATTAAACAGCTTGAGGCTATTTAGCACCCAAAGAGGGAGCACCAGGACTCATCTTGCAAGCGGGAAGCTGAGAGATTGCGGTGAGTTAAATCTCACAAAACACAGACTCGGCAAGCAACGCTAATAAAGCCTGCTTACCTTTAGGCGTGTGCTTTTGTTGACTTGAGTAACAAGATTCTTACTGCTGTTTCTGCACATACCTGAATTTTCCACCCACAAAGTACTTTGATGTTAAGCACAGACGCTGAACAAGGGGATAATCAGGGAAAAAGCTTGTGAACACGAACTGGCAAACGATTTTTTTAAGCGAACCTGGAGAGATGTGAATCCTCTCCAGAACATCTGCCCGCGGTCCCACCGGCTGGGCTGCCAGCGGTTCCGCCCGTGAGCACTCGGTGCGGTGCCTGGGCGGTGGAATAACTCTCGTGTGTCAGGGCTGCTCCCCGCAGCGACCAGGGCTGGAGGGGAGAGGCCAGACCCGGGCAAACCCGACCCGGCCCCGCTCCGCTCCGAGGCGCCGCGGGGGTGTGAGCCGCAGCCGGCGGGGCGGCCCCGCTCCGCCCCGGTCGCTTCCTGCGGGAGGAGGAAGCGGTTCCCCTTCGCCATGGAGCTGCCGCCGAGCCACTACTCCGCCACCCGGGCGGCGGCGCTGGCCGCCTGCTACCTCAGCTACCGGCGCGGGAGCCCCGGGCGCGGCCTGGCGCTGCGGGCCGTTCGCAGCGGCCGCAGGCAGGTGAGGGGCGGGCGGAGAGCCGGGGCAGGAAGCCGCGCCGGGCCGGAGCTCGAAGAGGGCGGCTGGCAGGTTATCTGCCTCCCGAAGGCGGGCAGGGCCGTCGCGTATCGCCTCGGAGGGGGCGGCTGGCAGGCTGCGAGCAGGGCAAGGCTGCCTCGGAAAGGCAACAGCACACACAGGCTTAATATAAGGAACCCAGTTAAAACTTACTTCGGTGTTAAGCCAAGCTGCACATTATTGGACAGAAAGACACAGCGAGCCCAAATACTGGACAAACACGTAGAATACAAGAATGGAGATGGATGAAGAGGTACTGATCAGGTGCAAATTAAACAAGTGATCTTAACATGGCAGGAAAAACTAGAATATCCTATCTCTGTATAGACCCTGTAGAGAATCACACTATTGCAGCACTTCACAGTAACTAGAATATTTTACACAATGCAAAGTCATTTCACAAAATAAATGTTCTTAATGTTTTTCTTATTTAGGACATTGATGGTGTTGGGCGTAAGTACTATCTGGAATTGGTGTTAGAAGATGTCCTTGACAAAGTGAGTTCACATGTATTTAATTAACACATTCTGTGGGCAGAAGTTGGCACTACTGGCACCTAATAAAAATGCAGCAGTTTATGCTGCTGATCCTAGATGAGGCCAGTGGACACACCAGTTAATAATACTTGACATCACGGTTCAGATTTTTCTATACCGCAAATCGGGAAGAAAAAAAAAAAAGCTAAATTTTACCATAACGGAACCCCCATTTCTTTCACCATAAAAGCCCTGAACATCTGGTACCTACCACTGTAACACAAGAAAATGTTTGAGGTATCACAGGGACATTTCAGTGTCATTCAGTTGAAAACTGCAGTTATTTGAACCCATTACTCCACCCGAAGAGCCCAAGTAACATTCTTTTGCACCACAATGATTGCCCCTTCTGTCACTGCAGAAAGAAAACTGCCCTTATAGCATATTCATAGATATACTATGAATTTAACCGTTTCTTAAATAATCAGCAAATCTGTATGGGCCAGACTTAGAGAAAAATGGCAACTACATAAAGAAAACAAAAATTTTAGAACTACAAATTACCAATATTATACGTCTATTTAATCAAATATTAATACACATAATTAACTCTGTAACAGGACAGTACTGTTAACTGCACAGCTGAGGTTCTTCATCATATGGGCAACAAAAACATTGCTCCAGATGTGCAATTCACAATTGAAGGAGAACTTAAGAACACAGATGAAGCAGATAACATATTCTACAATCGAATCAAGAGCCTGGAAAAAGAGCTTGTGGCAGAAAACATACCAGGTACAAAGAAGGGGTTTGGACAAGAAGGAAGGTTTTGAGGCAACATCTCCATCACCAGAAGCAAACCTAAGCTCAGCTGGTAGTGGTCCATGATCCCTATGGGACCCCTACTATGAAAGCCAGAGCTGAGGGGGATCGGGCCATTAGCCCTACTCTGAACACATGCTGACTCACTTTATCTTATTCACAGTGGTGTGTCAATCACAACACTAGTAGTTTTATTCACCATTTATGAAATACACAACCTCTATATGATTTATATGTGACTTCTCTTGAAAAATCACCTGCTACTGCCACCTCTTCCTTTACCAGCATACTGCTTACTGCTTGCACCTGTCCTTGGCATAGTACATCAGACACCCCCGCTCTAGTACTAGGGTCTGCTCTTACTTTAGAGCAACTGCTGCCTTGAAGACCTTATAGAATGTATATTAAGAGAAAAAAGTGGGAGAAAAACAGCGGTGATGCAGCAGCTCTTCCACAATTATAAAGAAGATCTGTGACACCCAGTGAGGAACCTAAGTGACTTTAGCACCAAACCTTACTATTAGGTGATAAGGTTCTGTTAATGGCTGCAACTCTGTGAACTTTGCTTTGTTATTTATTTTGTTTGCCAGACAACCACGGCAACACATCCCCAGAAATGGAGCCCATCCGGCTGCTAGCATGGGTTGCCTCTGGCTATGTGATATGGCAGAACTCGACTGAGAACACTAAGTTCCAACTTGCCCAAATTAAACATGTGAAGCAAGTGGTAAGTTATCATCAACGCTCTGAAAGAAAAATACCATCTATGAGCTAAGGAGTTGTGGCATGTACTGGATTACAGCTGTTAAGCAAGAAACCTCAGATGTAACTTAACTTCTCTGTCTGGTTCATTTTTAAGCCAGTGTTTAGTTTTTTTTCGACCTAATCCTTCTCTCTAACAAATCATAAATTCTTCAGTGTTTATTTAGATCACTTCTCTTCATAATTTTGCTTATAGAAGCCATGTTTTCTTGGCAAGAGCAGCATTTTACATTTGCTCAGTTAAGAAAATTGACTCTCCGCTTTAAGGTCATCACATTGATTACAGTTTTATATTACTTTCCTGCCTTCCATCTTTAATGCAGGCCAATCTGACAGTGTTCTTGCATCTGCATAATATGCATTGGAATACTGTCCTTTATATCTTGATCTACACCATGATCTAGCAATCAGTCACAGTAATACTGCTTGATGTCTCTGCAATAGCTGTGTCCAAACAAATAGCAATGGGCTGCACCTCAGATTCAGTAAAACAATCTACAGTGCTTCTGTTTGCACTACTGCAGTCTCCATCCATTTGCTAGTTCACCACAAAATGCTAATCAAGAAAGAAAGCATTGATGTAATTCCACTCTCATTATTAGCTGGTTTACTTTGTTCTCTCCAAACTTACTAATTTTTAAGTATCTGGGGGGTCGGGGGGGGGGGGGAGGTAGGGTTACAGTTAGTAGGGTTAGGATACTTCAGAGCAAAATATTTTCTGTTTTCACTTATTTCTGAGTGGTTACAAGTGAAGTGTTTATTTTGAGCAGATCTGGATCTGCCCTAAGCTAAGCAATAAAAATAACTGGAAAATCTCACTGTAGCTGTTCAAATTAAGTCAGTTACTAGCTGCCACTATCAACAGGCCTTGGAAATGTCTTGCCTGGAACAGGCTTAACTAATAAAGTGACTTGCTTTCAGAAAAGCTGTGTTAGAGCAGGTTTGGGGTTTGTTTTTAAATTAACAGAATTTAATGGTAGATTCTCCCCATTCTTCTCTATTTGGAGAACATATAAGTTAAGAATAACTCTTACAGGGATGGTCAACTTGAAATTCAAGGAAATTTAGTATGCAAACTAGGGTAAAGAAGAAGGGTTTCATATTTAGAAAACCCAGTAGATCAGGATTCTTCAGAACCGACTTTTAGAGCCCAAATGTTCTGCCACTCAGAACAGACAGTGAATTCACATGAAATTCTGAGGATGAAAGAAATGCAGAAACTCATTCTGGGAGCACTGTTTGTTAAGGTTTTGCTCCCTCTGATGGCTATCTTAAAGCAATTCACAGATGCTGCAGGGCTGTGCATGAGCAAGATTAAAAAAACCCTCTTTAACAAACCAGATGAATTTAAGGACAAGGCAGACATAAGACTATTAAAGTAAACCAGCTGCCATTTCTCTTCGATAATTTTGTTCCTTTTCTTTTCCCTGAACAACAGATACATAAAGAGCATGTTCCAGTGGCCAGTGTATGCACTGTCAGTCACACAATCACTGGTAATTTGTAGAGCCTCTTATCCTATTGACCATTTTATTTAGTATTATTTGGGTTAAATTGACATCTTCTAGAATCAGGTGTTGCCTTCACAAATGAGTTCCCGAAGCTGAGATAAATCTAGCTTCTTTAAGGGAGGAATTAGCACAGGTTCCACATTCAGTCTCCAGTGCAATTTTTGACATCACAGAAATAGAAAACAGTATCTTTTTGTTTTGTTATAGTGACTAAGCTCCATTTGCTTTATTTGTTTCATTTGGTTATCATAAAATTTCTCTGATGTATTTCAAAGAGAACTGAGTCACTTTTTTTTAAGGCAAGGGGAAGCCCCTCATTCAGCCCTTTTCATCTTGTCTTTCCAGAAAAGAAGTGATGAGTATCTTGAATTTGACTACATGATTCTACTTCACGAAATGGTGTCCCAGGTAAAGTCTTCATTTCTAAAAAGACCTTTTTAGAGCAGACAGTAATTTTCAGCTATTTCTGGGCCTTCTTGGGAATGGCAGAAGTTCAATATACTGGTCATTCATGGCTCTCTCCTCCAGGGAGGTACTACTGCCAAACTGGCCAGAGATAAAGGGAAGCAGCAGCTGCCTGCATCCAGGACTGCTTAGCTGCATTCCAGCTGGAGCTACGGAGCGCTTCTATGCTAGAGGACAGCAGTGCTGGACCAGTATAGAGAGGCATCATCTAGCCCAGCAGTTCATGGAAGAAAGCAGCAGAAACTTTGGTTCCTAAACCAGCATTTACATTGGATGCTATTCTCCATCATAATTTTGAGATCTGAGCAAGTGTTTTCATAAGAAAAATACAGAAAACTTGAAAGAGAAGTTCCCAATTGTGCAACCTCCTGTAATAAATCATCCACTGATAATAGAGATCTCACTCCCACTTACAGCCCCACTGCTTCCTACCCCACTACATTCTCAAGTCGAGGCACCTGTAGCGCTTTTAGTTCCTAAATTTTCCATGAAGAAAAGATTCCAGAGAAGCAGTAGCTAACTCACTGCAGAACAAAAGCACAGGTTTTTCATTGTGCTCTGCAGTGAAGGGCAAGTGTCCCAAAATAGCAATAGCACTAACAATAAGAGGGGAAATCCAACACAGACATGCTCAAGCTGCAAAACTTGCTGAGATGAAAGAAAAATGTAGTTGCAGAAGCATGGAGCACAACACAGGCTGAAAGAAAACTTGCAGGAGACCTTCAGATATTTGGACAGGTCACAGGACTGTGTGTTACAGTGCCTACCCTGTGCTGTTGCTTGATCAACTACTTATACTCAGGCCAGGTATGGCTGTATTGCAGCAGTAAATTCCTGTTTGGTATTGCCCAAAGTAAATACCACTTTCTACAGTGTTATTTTCTATCCACAGGAGATCATTCCCTGGCAAATGACAGTTCTCTGGCACCCACAGCATGGTGTTCAAGTGACACGGGAGAGCCGTCAGCCAAAACATGCATCGGAATAACGAACCACCCTATACAGCAATGGAAGAAGCTCAAATGCTACAATAATCGTTTGAATGGAGGCCAGATAAGTTGATGATGGTGGATACACAACCAAGGTACGAAGAAGTTAAGGACTTTGACTTCTTCCTCAGCTAAACTTTTCCTGTACATTGTGCTTTGATCTGATGATTCAAAGGGCAGTTTTCCTGCTACATAATCAAAGTCTGCATCAAAATATATTTAAATAAGCTGTGTTACCAGAAAGAATACTTACGGCACAGGGGCAGAGATGTTCTCCCTAAAGGCAACTTTTGGCTTTCCCATGGTGCAGGGGCAACCATATTCCCTTTCCATTCGCTGCAGGGGAAAATTAAATACATAATTATTCAGTTGGAACAATTTATTGGAAATCATTTTACTGACAGATCTTTTCTGACATGAGAAACTTAATCAGGGTTAACCAGGTTTTTAGGTTTGAGGTTGGAATGATTTTTGGTTTCTTGGTGTTTTTTTTAACATCACAAATTATTAACTGTCATTTTGCAGGCAACCTTGTTTAGGGCCTATACCTTTAGATACAAGAAAAGGGAACAGCATTAGTTATTTTACTCAAATTTAAGTTTTTAAAGACAAAATCCATTTTTAATTCATTCTGTCGGCGTTTCAGATACATCTATTGTGTTAGACTAAAATACAGACATCAACTTGAAAGAAACAAACAAACCACTAACTATTCCCTCCTGCCTGCATAATTTCTTATTATGGAATGACACATTTAAAACCACAGAAACAGAGTATTTCTCCTGTAGGAAACTGCCAACAATAAAATTAATTATAAGCAAAGGCTGCTAAAGCAAAGTGTAGTGCTTAATACATTTTTAATGGATTTGAACCAAAGAGTAAAAATATTCCAGGCATAAGTTTCACTGAAACAGTTTACAAGGCTTCAAAATAGAACCACTGGAGAGGAAGAATCTTCAAAAGCTAAGAAGTTAAACTCTTCCCTAAGCAGCTAGCATTCACATTAATTAGTGCTTTCTGCTGGGAAGATCTCAAAATAGCTGTCACATGATAACCCTGATTACACTAAAGCAAATGGAGTTGTACACCTCCAAACATCTTGTAAACTTGATGCCCAATTACAAAATCGGGCATAAAGACTGGCATCAGTTAGGCCATCTGCAGATAAGATTCTGGTCGCAGCCAGAAAGCAAGGAGAATTCTTGATTGGAAAACCAGCAAAAGTAGAATCCATAGAATCTGCTTCCCACATTACCTGGGCATAGATTTCCAAGTGCAGTTCCCCCATTCCAGAAACAATGGTCTCTTTGCTCTCATCATCAAAATGGGTTCTGAAAGTGGGATCTTCCTTTGTAAAGCGGCCCAGGCCTTTTGCAAATTTATCAAAGTCATTCTGAAAAACAATTACACACGCAAGAAAACATTAACTCAATATCCAGAAGTTGCACAACAAAAAGGCCTGAAATTTTTCCTATTAACTGCTTAGCACTCTGACTCTCATGAGGTTACTTTCTGAAACACAGCCACACATTTGTAACTGTATTTATCCTTCCAGCTACTTTGAGTCCATGTTTACACAGGTCAAAGATGTGCATCTTCTTTATGGCTAAGTGATATCATTTAATGCAGTCACATGCTGCGTTATCTGAATGATATATTAAGTACTTCAGATAAAACATTTGAAAACACTGCTCATTTTAGTCTGCAGTTCCATATTTAACTGCAAACCTGCATAAAATTATAAAAGCAGCAAAGGAAGGTAACTCAGTCAGAAGAAGGTTGATTCAGACTCCTCCTACCTTGTTGGAAGGCTTCATAGCTACTGAAATGACAGGATCAGGGATGTGGATTGATTCCTGCAATGGCCATAAAGGAAGAGATCACACAACTGAGTTCCACTACACTTGCTGATGTCATTTCTCCAGAACAGTTTGGTCACAAGAACCCAGGCTTACAAACAGGGTATGACTGTTTTACTTATCTACCCTGTATCTAGTATCATAGTGTAACAAAACTATGTAACTCTCCCAAGGATTACTACAAGGCTGTAACATAATGCATGCTGTACTGGCAGCCACAGTATTTGCAACACCATTTCCTAAATGTACTGGATTTCACACTGGTGAGAAGTCTGCTTCCCGAGAGATTTTGTAAATATATATAAATAAAAAAAAAAACAAACAACCCAAACTGATGTATGTAAATACATAGACAAATACATAGCTTAATCCTTTTGAGTAACAGCATCCACTTCTAACAGTTTGCTAACACTGAAATAGTATTTGATTTCAAGCATAGTAAACGGGTGTGTTATCTCTCTTGCCCATACCATGCTTCCATACACTCAGGCTTCATGAGGTATAACAAATAGTCACAAGAAGTATTTGTGGTTGTATATACATCAGAAAATATTTAGACCAAACAGATGATTACAAACATACGACAAAATCCTGGCAGATTTCAATGCATGAGGCATACAGAAGAAAAGGTGTACTCACCATGGAAATGGCAGTACTGGTTTTATCAGTGAATGTATCCCCACTAGCGCAATCTATTCCAAACAGCGCACATATGTCCCCTGCATAAACTTCATTTACATCCTTAAGAAAGATAAGTTTACTATTTAGATAACACTGAAAGGCATCTTACAACCTACACCTGGTTTTAAGAAGATACATAAATAATGTGTTAAAATGCCTGAAGTTAAGCTCCTTTGAAAATTGAAGGTTTGATAAAATGCTCTGTAAATCTTTTTTCTCTTTATTCAAAGCACAAAAAAGATACCTCAGCTTGGATGCTAACTTACTCTAGTTTAAGGGTGTGAAGCAAGCAACATAGTATGTTTCATCAGGCAGTCCTGACCCACCTATAGAGTTCGGGAATCCTGAACAGGAAAGACTGGTATTTGCAGCTGTTTTCAGAATTGTATTCAGGAATCATGTGGAAGAAAACTTTGGCATGTATTTTGCCAATCCTATTTCCCCTCTCCCAAAAATACGGAGTATGAGGATAATACCACAGCTGGCTTTCTTTACCTATCACCTCAAAGCCATTTGATAATGCTTCTCGGGCAAAGATTCTTCCACTTCAGTGGACGTAATATACTAGAGATCATTCCAGTTTCTTGCAGAGCACTATTAAGTGCTAGAGGCAAGTATGAATTAACAACAAAAGCAGAACTCTCACATGTCACATCGTTCAGAAATAGCTGAAAGGCCGGCAGCTCGTTTGGTGAGAGCAGTTCAAAAGGCAACCCATGTGGATTGTACCTCACACTCTCACCTCCATGTTGTCCGAATGCATACGGACAAGTCTCTGTACGCGCACTCTCTTCCCAGTCCTAGTGTTATATATATAATCGGATTTCTTCAGCATCCCCTGATAAGCGCGAATATAGGTTAACTGCCCAAAACGTCCAGCCTGGAATAAAAATTCATTAGAAGTCAGATATAATAATTCTGGGAGACAAAACTACTACTATTCAAAGCATCATCTGTGCTGACTGACTAAATGTTTCTGGTTTGAATTTACATACTGGATACGTAAATGAAACTTTTTTTGACATAGTCTCAGCTTTCCCTGGAATGGAACTTGGCATCTCCTGGCAATTTCTTTACTTCACCAGCTTTACCACTCCTAGATGTTCCCAGCAGAGGCGTACGCTACCTACCAATCTAGCCAGCCTATCCATATGAAATCTGAACTGCTACTCCCTAGGTAGCAAACAACTTGTTTGGTTAAAACTGTGTACTTTTTCCCCTCTGACTCTCTTGCATTCCATTGTTTTCAACTTCAAACAAAACCAGGAATTGTCTCTGAAAGTATCTGAAATAAGCCCACAAAACCCCCAAATTTTCAGGTTTTAACTAAGAAAATCATGAAATATTTGAGGGACATAACCCATTTTAAAATTTCTAAATTGGCAGTGTTCGACACATTAGTGGACTTTACGCTTGAAAGCAGTTTTTAAAAAGAAATAAAATTTAATTTAAATATAAGCTGATTTTTTTGTTTGTTTGTCTACAGAAGTTTTGGTAGTACCATCTTTTTGGACTCATTCTGTTTTCTACTGAAATCACCAACAATGAATCTGAATACCTTCCCTTCTCCTTCAAGGTTAGCACAATGAGATTACAATTTCTGCTCCACAGAACTCAGATCTTGGTAGCATGGAAAACTTGCAAGCAACTGAATAAATTAGCTAGGTAATGCTCTGGACATCCATTCTCCAGAAACTTTCAGTTTAGCCCTACTATATACACAGCAGCCAAGTGAAAAAGCAGTCACATGCACAAACAGGCACATTGAAAATACAAAGCTTTAAATGTGTGCTTTTCCCCTAAAATGAAAGGCATTTCCCAGGCATTAATGACAAGCCATCAGTAGCTTGCTGCAAGTAGAACTTGCATAAATCAACTTTTGCAGGAAATGCTTTGCTTCTCTACTGGGTTTGCTGCATTAGGAAGGAAAATGGTAACAGCTTACCTCCAGTTTAAAAGCAAGGCCTATAAAAGGTTGGGAATCATCTCGAGCAGAGTTCAAGAGGAACTTGGTTTTGTCCTCAGAATCCCTTAAAAATAGGGATGAAGAGGGGGTTTACATTGTGAAGCAAATATAGCAGTGTCCTTAAAACATAAGCCCTACCCCAGCAAGTCCCAAGGGCCTTCAGTTTCACAGGTTTATAACAGAGGCCTAAAGATGCTGACATAATGTAGCTTCCATATGCAGCTCCCATATGCTCAGAAAGCATCTCAGAGAAACTGCAGCAGATCCCTAAAAGGAGGACAAAACCATGACAAGTTTCACTAGTCCTTCGTATCATCCAACTACTTTGCCCTGAAAGCAATTAATCATACGCTCAGACACAACTCATTGGCAAGTCTGGTTTTAGAGTGAAGAAAGAGACACTGCAGTATCTCTCCTGACAATGTGAAAAAACAATGTGAAAAAACATGTGAAGTTTAGTCTATTTTGCAGGCAGACATTAGGAGCAGTGAGAGGCATAGCAGCAGGGAGGAGTCATAAACTGTATTTATAGCACCATTTCTGTTCAGCTATGATTATACTGTCTGAACAATTTGAGGACATTATGAAGACCTGATGACCGCCTCTAAGCTACGACTGAAATGTTAAGGGCAATTTACTGGCTCAAATGTTGGGTTTCATGCTATTTAATTGTGAAGGTACATCTACTTCAACTAACACATCCAAAGAATAAAATGCTCTTTACGCACTGCTGTAAGTGTGAGTTTAAGGGTTGCCATTAATTTCTAACTACCTAATCAGATAATAATTTTTCAAATTTAACAAGTAACGTGTTAAAAATACTAGCATAAACCCTCAAATGAGAGATGAGCTTCCTTAGTTTTAGCAGTTTGTGCAAAATTATGGTGGCATTACTTAATACAAATGGGAAATGATCATGGATTTTGTTAATATTGCCTGCTACATATTACACTGCTTTGAAGCCAGACTGCAAGACCCCTCCATATGCTCGCCACTATACTTACTGCTTGTTAAGGATAGCGTAGTTCTCAACCTCTGAAGGATTGGGGAGGTACTCCAGGACAGCATCCAGCAATGGCTGTACTCCTTTGTTCTTTAAAGCACTTCCCACAAGTACTGGGGTAAAGGACTTCTTCAGTGTTGCTCTTCTGATTGCAAGCTGGAAAATACCAGTGCTTTACTCTCCTCCTGCAACAACTTCAGAATTCTGATGCAGTACCAACCAAGCAGCAGTCAGATGGTCTTTCTGCTGATCATCTCTACTCCTGGAGTAAAGCGCCCACCTCCACACAGTCTCCTGTACAACCCCTAAGCAGTGCTTCTCATAAAACTTGCCCACCACAATTCTAGAGAATTCTGTGAGATTTTCTTTATCCTTCATCTTAAATCCAACTTAAAAATGAAAATGCCTAAGATAAATACCAGGATAACCTCCAAATACTCAGAAAGAGTTTCTTGATTCTCTGCTGGTAAAGTCAGGGTTCCTTATTTCTGTTTTGGATGCCTCATTCCCCCTGTTTAGCTGATGTCAGGAAACAATACATGTTTAAATTTGTGAAAGTAAAAGGAGCTGCTTCAGTATCTCCATAGTTCTTTAAACTATGGAAAACTCTTCTGAAAGAGGCAGTTAGGTAGGGAAGGGATATTTGGGTAAGTGCCATGCTGAATGAATCATCACTTTTTTATGAACGATGTTTTAAAAGCATAACTGAAGAACCTCTTCACATTCATCTACAGACCTGCTGAAGTTGCACCAAGTGTCTTGGGAATCTTTCCAGGATATCCTGGCAAACTGAGCAAGATAAACTGCATGGTAATCTCATGGTTATTCAGCACCTCTCACCAAAGCATTACACAATATTGCAAAGTATAACTGAGAACCAACAGCTTCCATAACAGTGATCGTAGATATCTTCCATGAAGGTGGACAGAAACTATATGCCCCACCACGGAATTAATTACTGAAACAGATTGCCACTTCTGTCCCACCTCTCCCTGCCACTAGAGGATGCCATCTACCTGTGCTTACCGAGGCCCCCACTCCAACCAAAAGCAGCTCCTATCATCTTTGATAAGCTAAAAGAAATGAATTCTCCTTGACAGAGCAAGTTAACCATATCATCTAACCTGGGAGTTATTTAAAGTACCCAAAGACAGATGGCTAAGCTATCTTCTTAATTAACAGAGAGAACAGTGATTCCTTAAATTTGTTGAGGTAATGACTTCACAAAAATAATACAAGGTAAAAATCCTACATCATCAATTCTGCTCATCTTGCCCATGTCTGTTCTCTAGAACATTGGAAATATGGCCGTGCTGAGGCCCAGTGTTGTTATTAGGCCACATGTTTTCAAACAAAGCAACATGACTGCAATTTGTCCTCATCAACAATTACCTCAGGGAAAAAAGTAATTTTATTTTCACATAAAGATTATAGTCACTGAGTGCCCGAATGAATACCTGGGGCACATCAGTTCCTTAAGTGCAGCATTATGGAGAGCAGCAAATTAGGTGATGCTTAAGCAGCTGATCTTCAGCAAACATCATATGCTATGACTGTGGCATCCAGGAGTGATACTTAGCATCATTTCCACAAAAAGATATTTCCAATGGAAACTTGGCTGCTGGCCACT